CCTGTAAGCGTACCTACTTTGGAGGCTGAGATCTGAGGATCATTGTTCAAAGCCAGCCCAGGCAGGAAAGTCTGTTAAACTCTTATTTCTATCTAACCGACAAAAAGCCAGAAGTGAGACTATGGCTCAAGTAGCAGAGCATTAGCCTTGAGGGAAAACGCCAAATGAGAACATGAAGCCCTGAATTCAAGCCCCAACACCAGTACTAATTAACTAAGTGATTAACTAAAGCCATCTTCCCCATTCTACAATCCCAGGCCCTGGTGTGTCTTGGACCTGCCTCTCAAGGAAGCTTGGAAACTTGGGGCTACAGACCCCAATGGCACAAGCCCCTGATGGTGAACAAGAAATGTAGCACACTCAATCAGACGAAATGGTCAGCTGTCCAGTCACACAAGGTTGCATATTGGCACTTTCATGGGGTTCCATTTAACTGCAAAAGGTTGGACGTTGCCGGGCGCTGGTGGCTCACGCCTGTAATCTTAGCTACTCAGGAGGCTGAGATCTGAGGATCGAGGTTCAAAGCCAGCCCAGGCAGGAGAGACCGTGAGACTCCTATCTCCAATAAAACCACCAGAAAACCGGAAGTGGCACTGTAGCTCAAGTGGTAGAGTGCTCGCCTTGAGCTGAAGAGCTGAGGGACAGTGCCCAGGCCCAGAGTTCAAGCCCCACGGCCGACCAAAAAAAAAAAAAAAAGGTTGGACGTTTCTAGCAAGTTCCATAGCAAGGTCAGAGGAGTTGACTGGACATTAACCTCCACTCTCTGTCTTTACTCTACAGGACTCCACTGGAGTTCAATGAGTAGGAGCTTGGCTTGGGGAAGAAGGACTCACAGGAGCAGGATGGCAGATGCACACAGGGAGCAGGTGGACCAGGACACAGGACAGACAGAGACACAGACACCAGGAGGGCAGTGTACCTTCTCTCCACCTCTCACGCCTCCTGCAACTCTGACCCTGGAGGTCAACAGTAAGAATTGTGTGTCTGCCTAGCCAGGTGCTGGTGGCTCACGCCTGTAATCCTAGCTACTCAGGAGGCTGAGATCTGAGGATCTCGGTTCAAAGCCAGCCCTGGCAAGAAAGACCGCGAGACTCCTATCTCAAGTGGTAGAGCACTCGCCTTGAGCTGAAGAGCTGAGGGACAGCGCCCAGGCCCAGAGTTCAAGCCCCACGACCGACAAAAAAAAAAAAAAAGAATTGTGTGTCTGGCAATGACAGGAAACACAGGGAAAGTTATCAGATAAATCCTAGCCTATTCCACCTGCATCATGGCAGAATAAGAAAATTGAGCCCGTTAGAATGACATTTGACAGCTGAGGACTCAGAGACATTGTTTGCCTTTGTGCTTGCGTAGTTCATTTGCGTAGCTCAAGAGATACAAGCTAAATTGGGGGAGGGGGATCTTAAACACTCTCCCTTCCCCCAAAAGTACCACAAAACCCCCTACTGGGGAGTCTGACTTCCCCAATGTCAGGAAAAGGTCACCGATCACAAACTTTCATAGGACATGCATGTCCTACCAGCAAACACCAGAGGGCAGTGTAAACCCAGACACGGAGAAACAGCTCTGACCCAGACTCTCCACCTCATTCTTCAGCCTGGAGCCTTCAGCCTAGACCTTCCCCTAGGAGGCCCAGGGGCCAGCAGGTGTTGAGGGGAATAGTTGTTGACAAAACCTGCAGTGGTGAGCAGAGGGAGGCAGAAAAATGTAGCAAGAGAGTATATGCTACCCCAGAGTGGCTACCACCACCAGGCCCCCATCTTCAAAGTTTGCACCAGCAGCTCCTGTCAGGAAACAGAACCAGACACCTATGTTCCAGGCACAGTACCAGGTGCAAGGGGCTCAAAGGTGAATAAAGCACACGCCTTCTCCCAGCCGCAACAGCCTCTGGACCATCACAGAACTCACAGCACAGAAAAGCACCATCCGTTTCTTCCCCAAGTACAGAAAGAGACAGATGGGGCCGAGATGGTAGTTCAGTGGGAGAACACTGGCCTAGCACATGCCGAAGGCCCTGGGTTCAATCCCTAGCACTGTAGGACACAGACAGGCTGGGAGGAGGTAACTGGCAAGGCAACCCTGGGACACCCTGATAGGAAAGCAGTCACCATGAATTCTCATGAATTCACCGTAGTCATTCATGACCATGATAGAGCTGGAGTGGTCGCCCTCAGTATTGAGAGGATTCATCTTTGTCCCAGACTGCTCTGCAGTGATGTCTGTCCTCTCTCTAATCAGAGGAATAAAGAGACAAACACTATTCCATAGCCTCATTCCTTCCCTGTCCCTCTGCACTCACTCTCGCTGTCTGTACCTGATCCCTCCCAGCTCCTTCCCTGTGTCATCTCCTCCTGCTGGTCAAGGGGCCTCACCATCCATCTCTCTCTCTCTCTCTCTCTCTCTCTGGGATTCAGCAAATACTTCCCTCTCTGGGCCCTACAGGCCTAAAAGCAGCAGAGAGCCCTGGCTGACCCAGTGCTGTCTTCAGCCATTATTACAGAATGTTCCAAGGATATTTCCGAACAAAGTGCCCCTATGAAATCTCAAAGCTCAATCTGTTATTGAACTTATTCTAAAATGTTTTAAACATGTCCTTGACCTGTTAACCACATGCCCCGAACATAATGATAACCTTTCATAATACACTGGGGTCTATTTTCTGAACATTCTTAGAGCAACTCAGAGGTAATATTTTATGTGTGTGTGTGTGTGTGTGTGTGTGTGCCGGTTTTAGGGCTTGAACTCCGGGCCTGAGCCCTGCCAGTTCAAGGCTAGCACTCTATCACTTGAGCTACTGCCCCACTTCCGATTTATTTGGTGTTTAATTGCAGATAGGAGTCTCACAGACTTCCCTGCCCAGGCTGGTTTTAAATTGTGATCCTCAGACCTCAGTCTCCTGAGTAGTTAGGATTACAGGCCTGAACCACCAGCACCCAGCTAACATCAGAGTGATTTAAACAAAAGATTCCTCTCCTCTATTGGATACCTGAACAAAGTAGTCCAAGGTGACTCATAGCAGGTAGGGACCCAGGCTTTTCCATCCTCAGTCATTGCTAGGTGACCCCCTTCTCATTACCTTTGTCATAAGTCTCTCTTCTTCCCCCACCCCCTGGGCAGGAGATTGAACCCAGAACCATGAATTGGCTAGGCACATGATCTACCACTTGAACTATGCTTCCATTTCTTTCTTTCTTTCTCTTTCTGTCTCTTTCTTTTCTTTTCTTTTGGTTGTGGGGCTTGAACTCTGGGCTTGGGCGCTGTCCTTGAGCTCTTCAGCTAGGATTACAGGCATGAGCCACCAGTGCTGGGCTACTTTGTTTTTTAAACAAGGTCCCACTAACTTTGCCTTGGCTAGCCTCAAGGTCAATATCCTCCTGCCTCTACCTCCCAAGTAGCTAGAATTACAGGCAGGTGCCAGTACACTAGGCTCAAAAAAAGTCTCTTGAGTCAGGAGTTGGTGGCTCATGGCTGTAAACTAGAAACTCAGGAGGAGGCTGAGATCCCAAGGATGATAGCCCAAAACCAGCCCAAGTCCTTGAGACTCCATCTCCAAAATTACCAGCAAAAAGCTGGGCTTGATGCTGCGGTGGTGGCTCACACCTGTAACCCTAGCTACTCAGGAGGATGAGATCTGAGGATCACAGTTCAAAGCCAGCCAGGCCAAGAAATTCCATGAGACTCTTACTCTAATTAACCACCAGGATACTGGAAGCGGAGCTGTGCCTCAAAGTGGTAGAACATTAGCCTTGAGCAGAAAAGTTCAGGGACAGTGCCCAGGCCCCAAGTTCAAGCCCCACACAAAAAGAAAAGAGAGAGAGATTGGGCTCCACATAGTAGAGTACCAGCTGAAGAAGCAAGCAAACCAGGTGAATTCAAGGCCCTGAGTTCAAACCCCAATACCACCACACACACAAAAAGTCTATTGTAATCTTATTAGTCCTCTGAGAGCTAGAAAACCAAACATGTGAGTTTTCCAGAATTACATATATTAACACATTCACAATATACATTTTTATTTATTTATTTTTTTGGTCATGGGGCTTGAACTTTGGGCCTGGGCTCTGTCCCATAGCTCTTCAGTTCAAGGCGAGTGCTCTACCATTTGAGCCACAGTGCTACTTCCGGTTTTCTGGTGGTTTATTGGAGATGATTTTCTTTTTTTTTTTTTTTGTCGGTCGTGGGGCTTGAACTCTGGGCCTGGGCGCTGTCCCTCAGCTCTTCAGCTCAAGGCGAGCGCTCTACCACTTGAGCTACAACTCCACTTCCTGTTGGAGATGATTTTCATGGAATTTTCTGCGCAGGCTGGCTTTGAGCCTTGATCCTCAGATCTCAGCCTCCTGAGTCGCTAGGATTACAGGTGTGAGCCACAAGTGCTGGGCCCACATACAATTCTTGCTTCTACATGCTATTAAGGAAATTACTCTCAGCTTTTCCACTTGTAAAGTAGGAATAACAACTCATGTCGTTACGTAGAAAGCATGTTGTTTGGGGGATGGGCAGCTGCTCGGTGGTACAACGCTCAGGGAACATACTGCGAGGCCTTGTGTTCCAGCCCCAGCACTAGAAAAATCAAAATAAAAAGCAAGCTATGCTGGGCATTGGTAAGGCACACCTGTCATCCTAGCAACTCAGGAGGCTGAGATCTGAATATCCCGATTTTATGGCAGCCTGCGGCAGAGAAGTCTGTGCAATTCTTATCTCCAATTAAACAATATAAAGCCAGAAACAGCAGTAGGACTCGAGTGGCAGAGTGCCAGGCTAGATGGAAAAAAACAAGTGGGACCATGAGGCCCTATGTTTAAGCCCCAGTACGTGTGTATATATGTATATATATATATATATATGTATATATATACATATATATATGTGTGTGTGTGTGTGGCATGTTACAAGTCATATAGCAACTACCCAATGGGGTGTAGCTGCATTCCTTATTACTATATAAGGCAAGTCACCGGTTTACAGGTCCTGAGTCTGGGATGGAGGGCTTCGAGCCTCACTTGGCGGGCTCCGCGTCTCCACGCTCTTGTCTGGGGCTCTGTCCCCGGGGGTGTAAAGCCCTGGAAGCTGGAGGACGACTTGTCCCGCCCGGTCCCGCCCGGCGCCGCCCGCACTCTTCTCCGCGTCTCGGGCTGCGGTGGAAGCCCCGCGCCGTCGGGGGTCCTCGTGCGTGCGTGCGTGCCCCGCGTTCTGCAGGCGCCTCACAGCAGGCAGGGCGGGCCGCGGGCCGCCGCGCCTCGCCATCTCCCAGGGCCCAGGGACAGGCGGGAAGCGGCGGGAGCGGCATCGCCCCGCTGGCCCGCGGCCGCGGCGCCCGCCTCGGTAGCGTTGTCTGGGAGGCAATGCCGGCCACACCCGACGATCTGCCCTGTGCGCGCGCGCGCGTGCCCGTACCGGGGCTCGAACTCGGGTCCCGGGCGCTGTCCCTTAGCTTTTCACCCAAACCGCGGAAGGTGCCCGGATCCCCACGGTGCCCCTGCCCGGCCCGCCCCCCTCCCGGGCCTCCGCCGCCGGGCGGGCCCCCCTCCGCCCTCCCTTCCCTCACGCGCCCGCCCGCCTCCGGTCTCCCAGCAACAGAGAAGGGAGCAGGCGCATGCGCAGGATGGCCTCCGGCCCCGCCCGCCGGCCCCGCTCGCGCCTACCCGGGACCCCAAGGTTCATCCAAAACCTCTCCGGTATTGCACGTTGGTCACTCCAGACACCGTCCAGACGAGCAACACAGCACCGTCTCCTGGGAGCCTGCTACACGAGCAAGAACCTGCTAGAACCCGCCGCCCCTGCCCACCCCCAGGCGGCATTGCTAACGGGATCCGGCGTCGGCCGGCGCCGCGGGCACCGTCCGGGTGCTAGGCCGTGGGTGGCGGACGGACACATCGAACCAGAGACGTCCTCGGTGAACTTTTCAGCCATCCAGCAGAAGCAAGCTTTACGATTTGTAGAGGAAACAGGCTCCCCAGGCCCAGGCCGGGCTGAGGAAGGGGAAGTCCCTCGTGTCTGCCCCGCCCATCACTCCAAGACAGAGTGCATCGCCGACCTCTGCTCCTACCCTCTGGAGTCAAAGTGAAAATCAGAAAGGACAGTTTCCCCCAGGATGGGGGTGATGGAAACGGGAGGCGGTGGTGACAAAAAATGGGTACCTTGAACCTGCCACTATAAGTAAGTCGACTGGCAACATTTAAAAACAAAAAGTTTGGATTCCAATGCCAGTGGTTCACATCTGTAATCCTAGCAGCTCAGGTGGCTGAGATCTGAGAACCTAGGTCTGAAGTCTGCTAGGCAGGAAAGCCTGGGAGACTCTTCTGTCCAATTAACAGCAAAAAGCTGGAAGTAGAGCTGTGGCACAAGTGGTGGAGCACCATCCTTGAGTGAAAAAAACTAAGGAAGAGTGCCTTGGCCCCAAGTTCAAGCTCCAGTACCAGCATACCCAAAAAATGACAAAGTCGGATGTGGGGAAGACAAAGCATCACTCTCTTTAACCATGAAGACAGTACCTCAAATAGTATGCACAAAACCCAGCTGAAGAGCTCCAAATAGGTGCACTCCACACGTGCTTTAAACTTCTAAATGAAATTCCTGCCAATATTAAGACAGGGATCCGTTCACCTGAGAGCAGTTCCAAGTTGGTAGCTTTCCTGTCTGAAGAGTTCCATCTTGGAAAGCTGCAGAACTTAAGTTTAACTTCCTCATCAAGTAACAGAACAGACACATCCCAAGCCTAAAAGAACCACGGCGCTTTGCCAGGAAACACTAAGCAGCAGTGACTCAACAAACAGCATCACATTTTTAAAAAAGAAAAAAGAAAATGATTAATTTTTAGTGGCAAAGACAAAGTCATAAGATAGGGGGAAACCTACTTCAAACAGAAGCCACTAAAAAAAAAAATTCTAAGGAAGAGCAGTTAGTCACAAAAGATCACATGAAACTCTTATCTCTAGGTGCCAGCCTTGAGCAAAAAGCCAAGCAAGAGCTGGAAGCCCTGATTTCAAGTCCCAGTAAAGACACACACACACACTAATAATAAATAAAAATACTGAATTTGTATGGTGTATATAAATTATATACAGTATATAATTTACATCAGTAAAGCTGTTTCAATTCATGGCAGCACACTAGGTCAAAATTACTCTAAATCCATGGCAGCGCAGTAGGTCCAAGTTAATCTAAAATATAGACTTCCTACTATAACACAGAAGCTCTCGGCAAAATCTGGACCAGCTGATATGAGTACTGAATAGAAGCCCTGCTATATTTATCTGGGGGAAAAATGCTCTCACTTCAACTCAGGGAAGAATTTCATAGTCTTTCTCAAGGTCATCAGTCTTCTAGAAATCCCCATCTGGCTTTAGGTTCCTGTTCCAAAACCATTGGAAAAATCAAAACAGGCAAAAAAAAAAAAAAACACTTTCAAAACAACACCTTTAACTTATGTGGGCTAGGGGAAAGGCAGAGAATCATGGAATAGACATGGCTTCATCAGCAGACAGCTGACAGCAGACAGCTGAGAATTCACTATTTCCATAGAAACCCAAGTCCAAAATAGACTATACATTTCCTCAGGGAAAGTGCCTCAAAAGATCCCAAATAAGGGCAGGTGCTAGTGGCTCATGTCTGTAATCCTAGCTACTCAGGAAACTGAGATCTGAGGATTGCAGTTTAATGCCAGCCCAGACAGGAGACTCTCATCTCCAATTAACCAGCAAAAAGCCAGAAGTGTGGTTCAAGTGGTAGAGTGCCAGCCTTGAGCAGAAAAAGCTAAGGACAGTGCCCGGCTTGATTTCAAGCCCCAGTACACACGTACACACACACACACACACACACACACACACATTTACACACATACACACACCAAATAAAATACACCAAAAAAAAATGGTAAGGGCCTTCAACTTGGCAAACTCCCTTCTCTTTCCAATGTTTCATTTCCTAGAGACCAGAGGTCATCATGAGAAGCCCCTGCTGTGCCCACAAGGCCTGCTGGCATCAGAGTCAGAGCTGTCCCCAGGGAGAGGAAGGCAAGGGGACCTGCACTGGGAAGCTTACAGAGAACATTTCCTGCTGCTTTCAATTCACAAGACATGCCGACCTGGATTCTCTCTTATCCCTAGGCAAATTAAAAGACCAAATGTTATTAAGCAATTAATAATAGAGTAGATTGCTATTTGGCTTCTGTGTCTCTGACAGGCTCCTGTTCCAAAGGGCCTGCTTCAATCTTTAAGGACAAAATGACTATGGCAATTCCAAGAGGAAAGAAAACTGGCAAGGGCCTAAAAGTGTGCCTCTATCAGTTGATTGTCTCCTGGATGAATGCTGACTTTCCCTTGCATTCTCTGCCTTCTTCATTGGGCCTGGAAAAGCAATGCACAACACAATCCATGCCCTCACACACACAAAAGAGTCAGTCTACAGCCTCATTTTCAACCTTGCAAAAATCAGTAACCCTAACAATCTGCTAGGATATAGAATATGGAGGGCTGGAGGTTTTTATTAATGTACCATTAATGTACCTAAAGCACCCTAAGCAATGACTACTGCAAAGTAGGCTCTCCATGAATATTTCTTTTTTTTTTTCCTTTTGCCAGTCCTGGGGCTTGAGCCCAGGGCCTGGGCACTGTCCCTGAGCTTCTTTTGGGCTACACCATCACTTCCAGCTTTTTTTGTTTATGTGGTAATGAGGAATAGAATCAAGGGCTACTCTACCAGTAAACCATATTCCTAGCTCTCCGGGAATATTTCTAAGGCTAAATGAATTAAGGGCCTACTATGTGTGGGAGGCTGTGCTAGGCCAACTTCTGCCTCTTGGGCCTCAAGAGGCTGCCTCCTTGGGTCCTCCGCTCGCCAGGGGGCGCTGTAGGGAGCCGCAGGCATTCTTTCGGTTACTCTCTGACCCAGTGAAGCCGCTGCCCGGAGCCAAGATGGCGGCATCGGTGGCAGCTGTAGCCGGGCGTCTGCGGCGGGCCATTCGAAGGTCGTCCTCATGGCAAGGTCCCAGCCCTCGACCGCTCTCAGCCGAACCCCCGCCAGCCCAAGGATCGGCCGTGCGGGACACCTTCCTGAGCTTCTTTCGGGATCGCCATGGCCATCGGCTGGTGCCTTCGGCGTCAGTGCGGCCTAGGGGCGACCCCAGTCTGCTGTTCGTTAACGCCGGCATGAATCAGGTGGGGGCGGAGCCACACCGGTCAGGGGGCGGGGCTCGCGAGCCTTCTGGAGAAAGGCTGCGGGATTGGGCGAATAAAGCAAGGGGCGGAGCTTTCGGGGTAAGAGGGAGGTGCGTGGTTGGATAGAGGGATTGGAGGCGGAGCTTACGGCTTGAGGAAGGCTTGACTCAAAGGTCCAGAATTGAAGGCACAGGGTCCTTGTCTCCAGGCTTGGCCAGGCGGGGAGGGAAGATTTCATTAGTAAAATATAAATTAGGGCCGGGAGCTGGTGGTTCACGCTTGTAATCCTAGCTACTCAGGAGGCTGAGATATGAGGATCGCAGTTCAAAGCCAACCCTGGCAGGAAACTCCGTGAGACTCTAATCTCCAATAAACCACCAGAAAACCGGAAGTGGTGCTGTGGCTCAAGTGGTAGAGCGCTTGCCTTGAGCTGAAGAGCTGAGGGGACAGCGCCCAGGCCCAGAGTTCAAGACCCACGACCGACCAAAAACACACACACACACACAAACATTAAATAAGAGGTTTATTGAGCACCTGCTGTGTGCTAGGTAATGCATTTTCCCCTAAGCTTTTTGTTGTTGTGCCTGCCCTGGGCTTGAACTCAGGGACATAGGGGCTGAGCTTTTTTGCTTAAGGCTAGCAGTTTATTACATGAGCCACAGCTCCACTTTCGGCTTTTCTTTCTTCTTGGAGTACAGTCATCCCTTGCTATATCACAGTTCACTTATTGCAGCTTCGCTGTATCGGTTATTTTTTTTTAATAGATAAATAATGATTCCTCACCTGGTTTTACAAAAAATATAAATAGTGATCCCTCATGTCACAGGAGTTATATTCCAAAGACCTCCACAATATGTGAAAATCTGCAAAGTAGCTCATGCTTGTAATCCTCACTAGTCAGGAGACTGAGATCTGAGGATTGGGGTTCAAAGTCAGCCCAAGCAGGAAAGTCCTTGAGACCCATCTCCAATAAATTACAAAAAAAGACAGATATGTTTTTGCTAGGCCCTGTGAATTAATTAAAAGCCCCTCCCCCCAACTCTGTGTCCTTTGAACTAGCCTATTCTTGGCTGCAGTCCCTCACCTTGTTCCTGGGAGGAAGGAAAAGATTCTGATAACTCTCTGTGTGAAAGGCAAACTACCCCTCACACAAGCAAAGTCTTCTTATCATCTTAAAGAAAATAGCTCAAAACTCAGCCGAACACCTTGTTCCTGTTCTGTTTCAGTAATAAAGCAACAATTTCTCCAGAATTCTTCCAGAGACAAAGGCTGAGCTAATAAACACAAATCAGGCCATACCTTCAACTTGTGACTGGCTTTGGGGTTTGTTTGGTTTTTATGTGTATATGTGCCACTCCTGGCAAGTGAGCTCAGGGCCTGAGTGCTATCCTTGAGCTTCTTTTGCTCAGTTAGAGATGAGTCTCTCAGATTTATTTGGCTGGGCTGGCTTTGAACCAGAATCCTCAGATCTCAGCCTCCCCAGTGGATTACCACCTGCATCCAGCATTCTTTTTCTTTTTTTTGGGGGGGGGTCCGGTCGAGGGGCCTGAACTCTGGGCCTGGATGCTATCCCTCAGCTCTTCAGCTCAAGGCTAGTGCTCTACCACTTGAGCCACAGCACCACTTCCGGCTTTTTTCTTTTTGCTTATGTGGTGCTGAGGAATCGAACCCAGGGCCTCATGCATGCAAGGCAAGCGCTCTACCACTGAGCCACCTTTCCAGCCCTGCATCTGGCATTCTTAAAATACCTTTATGTGCTTCTAGTTCAAGCCCATCTTCCTGGGCACCGTGGATCCTCGCAGTGAAATGGCAGGCTTCCGACGCGTGGCCAACAGCCAGAAGTGTGTGCGGGCTGGAGGACGCCACAACGACCTGGAGGATGTGGGCCGAGACCTCTCCCATCATACCTTCTTTGAGATGCTTGGCAACTGGGCTTTTAGGGGTGAATATTTTAAGGTGAGTCTTCAGGGAGCTGAAGGGTTAAGAAAGACTCAGCAGCCAGGCGCTGGTGGCTCACGCCTGTAGTCCTAGCTACTCAGGATGCTGAGACCTGAGGATCGCAGTTCAAAGCCAGCCCAGGCAAGGAAAATCCGTGAGACTCTTATCTCCATTTAACTGCCAGGAAACCAGAAGTGGCGCTGTGGCTCAACTGGTAGAGCGCTTGCTTTGAGCCAAAGAGCTGAGGGACAGCGCCCAGGCCCAGAGTTCAAGCCCCACAACTGAAAAAAAAAGAAAAAGAAAAAAGAGGTCAAGATCTATCTTGTCTCCACTTTCCTGACTGCTCGTATAAAGGCTTATACTAGACACAGGTGAAGCACTAGATGATGGGTACAAAGGGAATATGTCACTTCCCTAACTGGACTGTAAGTCTGCCGAGGGCAGAGACTGGGCTTCCTGCCTAATGGCTGGTCAGAGTTGTCTGAATAAATGACCAGGCAGCAAGACTGAGAAAGCTAACTGCAGTTACAGTCACCTAAACTGAGGTGGACAGAGTTTCTGAAGAAGGTAGGACTTGTTCTAGAACGGGAAGGAAAGCTGACTAAAGAAGAGCAGGAAGCTTTCCCGGGAGGAGAATGCTCAAGGCAGAATGGTCGTGGCATGTTCTGGGAACAGCGTAGGGAGTGGGAATGATTTTGTCCTGAACTCACATGGTTGGCTGGCGCATCCGAGGGGCCTCTTTCTCACCCACATTCCTCCTCCCTCCACACTGGGGTCCACTACAGGAGGAAGCTTGCAGCATGGCCTGGGAACTGCTGACTGAGGTCTATGGCATCCCTAAGGATAGACTCTGGGTCTCCTACTTTGGTGGTGACCCCAAAGCTGGGCTGGACCCAGACCTGGAGAGCAGGGACATCTGGCTCAGCTTAGGGTAAGTCAATCCCTCATGATGCCCGTTCCTGGCAGACAGGACTGGAAGAGAGACCACCAGACCATTCCGTTCAACATATCCCAGCATGCTGTGGGTCAGCCCTGTTCTTCCTCTTGCTGCTCTGGGACCTCGAGGAGGGATGGTCATGACAGGAGTCCCCGCTTCTGAATGCGTCCATCTCTCACCATGTTCCTGGCTTGGTCCCCAGGGTGCCCACCAGCCGTGTGCTTTCCTTCGGACCCCAAGAGAACTTCTGGGAGATGGGCGACACTGGCCCCTGTGGGCCCTGTACGGAGATCCACTATGACCTGGCTGGAGGGGACGGAGCCCCACAGCTGGTGGAGCTTTGGAATCTGGTCTTCATGCAGCACAACAGGTAACCAGGGCCAGAGCAGGAGCAGCATTCCTGACCAGAAGTGGAAAAGTTGACAGTTGGAAAATGGATCCAATTAGGAAAATGAACACTGAAAAGACACCTTGAATGTGTCAGGCACGTTTGTAAACACTGCCGCTAGCGACTGACAACATCCTAGTCTTCTCTCTTGACAGATTAGTCATGCTGTCATCATACGGTGCGGTTGAACTTGGTGATCTCTTAAGATTTTCTTCTAGCCTGGATATGCCTCCCCCCCCCCTTTCTGTCAGTACTTTCTGTCAGGCTGGCACTCTGTCACTTGAGCCACAGCTCTAGTTCTAGCTTGTTTGCTGATTAAGTTGAGATAAGAGTCTCATGGACTTTCCTACCCAAGCTGGCTTCAAACCATGAAGCTCAGATCACAGCCTCCTGAGTAGCTAGGATTATAGGCTTGAGCTGCCAGAGCCTGGTGACATGTCTTTCTTTAAGGGCAAAGAATTCTGCCCCATAGGCAATGTTTGGGTCCAGGCAAGACCCCAAGTAGGCATGGGGCTAGAGTGAGAAAGGACCCACAGAGTATCATCTGTTACCTGTGGTGTTACCGCCTGTCCCTCCTCCCACCGACAGCCTCCTTGGGTTCCTCTCCCTTTCTCTACTGCACTTGGTCCTGGGTGGGCCTCACCTTGCACTTTCCCTGACCAGAGAGGCCGATGGAAGCCTGCAGCCCCTGCCCCATCGGCACGTGGACACAGGAATGGGCCTGGAGAGGCTGGTGGCTGTGCTGCAAGGCAAGAGATCCACCTACGACACCGACCTCTTCTCCCCGCTGCTCAGTGCCATACACCAGGTGAGCCGCCTCTGCCCTTCAGAGGATGTAGCAGTGCCCAGAAGTGACCATGGGGATTTCCTTTGAGTATGAGAGACAGACGATAAATAAATGTATGCAAAAGCAAGATAGCAACTTGCAGATTGAGAACAAGCAGTAAATATGATCGTAACTAGCAGGGGGCACAAAGAACTCTTAAACAAGTGTGTAAAGGAGGTCCACCAAAGTCACGCAGCCTGTAAAAACAGCCACAGACAGCTTCTACCCCCTAGAAGGCACGGCAGCTGCCGAGGTCCTGAGGCGGGAAAGGGCTTGACATGTTCCGAGGACAAAAAAGGCAATCTGCCAGCTAAAGCAGAACCACATGGGGTACGGTGGAAACCATGTCATTTCTTGGAATAATAAACACCTTAGCACTTCCTGACTTAAAATCGCCATGGAGAAAGTGGTGCTGTGCCTCAAGTGGTAGAATGCTCACCTTGAGCTGAAGAGCTGAGGAGCTGAGGGACAGCGCCCAGGCCCAGAGTTCAAGCCCCATGACCAACAAAAAAGAGTGAGTCTTATAGACTTTTGTTGTTGTTGTTGTTGGTTGTGGGACCTGTACTCTGGGCCTGGGTGCTGTCCCTCAGCTCTTCAGCTCAAGGAGAGAGCTCTACCACTTGAGCCACAGAGCCACTTCTGGCTTTTTCTGCTTATGTGGTGCTAAGGAATCGAACCCAGGGCCTGATGCATACAAGGCAAGCGCTCTACCACTGAGCCACCTTCCCAACCCTCATAGACTTTTCTTTTTTTTTTTTTTATCCAGTCGTGGGGCCTGAACTCTGGGCCTGGGCGCTGTCCCTCAGCTCTTCAGCTCAAGGCTAACACTCTACCACTTGAGCCACAGCGCCACTTCTGGCTTTTTTCTTTTTGCTTATGTGATGCTGAGGAATCGAACCCAGGGCCTCAGGCATGCAAGGCTAGCACTCTACCACTGAGCCACCTTCCCAGCCCTCATAGACTTTTCTTCACCTGACTTCAAACTGCAATCCTCAAACCTCAGCCCCCTGAGGAACGAGGATTACAGGCGTGAGCCTCTGGCCATGCTGTTAGTCTTGAGTGAGCTTACCTGTGCACCTGTGTGCAGGCACAGGCAGCTCTCCTGCTGGCCGCCAGTGTGGGACAGTGGGGTGACCGGGTCGTGTGTCTGTTGTCTCCCAGCTGGGGAGCCCAGGCTCGCTCACCTCACGGCAAAGCAAGGCTCCAAAGAGGAGAACAGAAGCACGGGCTCCCAAGCGTGTCCTTTCCACTGACTGCCTCAGTCCCAGCAAGGCGTGGGCAGACGCAGACTCAGATGGAGAAATCGATTCCATCCCTTTACGGGGAAGCGACCGTAAACACATCCAAAAGCTGCATGGGCTTAAAAAAAAAAAGAGGAGGAGCCTTTAATAACCGACCTCCCACAGCGGGGAAGGCAGGAGTCACATCTGGTGAGGCCTTGAAGTCCAGAATGACTTTCCTTCTGCCTGTGGTGAGGGGGGCTGGGAGGGGCGGTGGCAGGACTGCTGTGCGCCTGTGAAAGGACATTTCCATCACCTGCGGATGATGGGCACCAGGGAGGCTGTCACCAGTCCAGGCAAGAGGTCAGGGCGCGGCTTCCTGGGTAGCAATGGGGGAAGGAAAGCAGATGAGCTGGAGGATCCTGAGGAGAGAGAAGGAAGGGCCTGGGAAGAGAGCTGACATGGGCACCTAGGAAGAACAGGTTAGAAGTGGGGCAGATCAGTCGGGCGCCACTGGCTCATGCCTGTAATCCTACCTACACAGGAGGCTGAGATCTGAGGATCACGGTTCGAAGCCAGCCCAGGCAGGGAAGTCTGTGAGACTCTCCAATAAACACTAGAAAACCGGAAGTGGCGCTGTGGCTCAAGCGGTAGAGGGCTCGCCTTGAGCTGAAGAGCGCGAGGACATTGCCCCAGCCCAGAGTTCAAGCCTCATGAAGTGGGGCAAATCAAGTGCTATAACCACGTAGCCCTCGGCTGTGCACCCGCTTTCTGCCCATCCTCTGCTCCCCAGGCTGGGAGGCAGAGCAGCAAGTGAAGAGCACTTGGAATCAGATGTCACCTCTGAGCCAGCATGCCGCTGCGTGGCCTGTTGCCGCGCCTCTGCCCTCTCCTCCCCCAGTACTGGGGCTTGAACTCAAGGCCTGGGTTCTGTCCCTTAGTTTTTTTGCTCCAATCTGGTGCTCTACCACTTGAACCACAGTTCCACTTTTGACTTTTTGATGGTTAATTGGAAATAAGAGTCTCACAGGCTTTTTCCTGCTTGGGCTGGCTTTGAACAGCTCTCAGCCTCCCAAGTAACTAGGATTACAGGCACAAGCCATTGGCACCCAGCTCTCTTTCTCTCCTCTCTTCCTTGAAAACAAGGGTAACCATGCCTCCCAGAGGGGCTGGTTTAGAGATAGCAGGTCCTGGTAGAGTCAGTAAGCAAGTGCCATGATGGCACTATTTTTTTTTTTCCTGTCAGTCAAGGGGCTTGAACTCTGGGCCTGAGCGCTGGCCCTCAGCTTCAGCTCAAGGTGAGAGCGCTCCAATACTTGAGCCACAACACCACTTCAGTTTTCTTGTGCTTAATTGGAGCTGAGAATCTCATGGAGGGGCTGGGAAGGTGGCTCATTGGTAGAGTGCTTGCCTTGCATGCATGAGGCCCTGGGTTCGATTCCTCAACACCACATAAGCAAAAAGAAAAAAACCGGAAGTGGCGCTGTGGCTCAAGTGGTAGAGTGCTAGCCTTGAGCTGAAGAGCTGAGGGACAGCGTCCAGGCCCAGAGTTCAAGTCCCATAACTGACCAGAAAAAAAAAGTCTCATGGACTTTCCTGCCTGGGCTGGCTTTGAACCACCATCCTCAGACCTCAGCCTCCTGAGTAGCTAGGATTACAGGTGTGAGCCACTGGTGCCCAGCTCCTGATGTCACTAGTAGTGCCCAGGATGAGCCCCGGGACAGTGGCGCCTGACCCGTGTTTGCTTGGGTGTCTGTCCACAAGGCCACAGTGGAGGCGCTCAGCCCAGGGCTGAGGGCAGATGCCCTGCGGTTTATGATGAGAGCCACCGAGGCCAGGTCAGGCAGGGCCAGCGGCGATGTCTTCTTCTCTTGTGCGTTCCAGGGCTGCGGGGCACCCCCTTACTCAGGCCGAGTCGGGGAGGCAGATGAGGGGCGCATCGACACGGCGTACCGCGTGGTGGCGGATCACATGCGCACCATCAGCGTGTGCATTGCTGACGGCGTCTCTCCGGGGATGTCGGGAGCCCCGTGAGTCTGGAAGGGCTACAGGGAGGGAGGGGCTGGGGCAAGGGCCTTGGGGTGGAGGCAAACACCCCAGCGGGCATGGCTGGACCTGACCCACCTCTGGGCTCTGAACCCTTTAGGTTGGTTCTTCGCCGGATTCTCCGCCGCGCCGTGCGGTTCTCCACGGAGGTGCTGCGGGCACCCCCTGGCTTCTTAGGCAGCCTGGTGCCTGTGGTGGTGGAGACGCTGGTAAGGACCTCCTCACCTGGGCCTTTCTGGACCCTCAGGGAACCAAACACAGAGCACCCCAGCTCCCCACCCTGCTGTCCAACACGGTACCACCAGCAGGGTGCTCACAAAAAGCATGGAGAGATGTCAGGAGGCTCCTTGCCTGAAATCTGAAATCTGCAGGGATCCACTTCTGCTAACCCAACCCTAAAGCATCTCCCTAGCTGGGTCCCCGGGGGAGTGGAAGAGGGGGTGGGTGGGGTGGGGGCTCCGCAGGGCGGGCAGGGAAGGGAGGTAGCTGGGGCTGATTGTGTGTCACACTGCCAAGCTCTCTCCACCTCCCCTAGGGAGCCGCTTACCCCGAACTGCAGGAGAATTCAGCCCAGGTACAGATTCGGGTGGGGAGGGGTGGTGGGGGAGCTGGGGAGGTGGCTTCCCTCTGAGTGCGCCAGTTCCACGCCCGCCCTGCCCCGTGTCAGATAGCCAGCCTGGTGTCAGAGGACGAGGCGGCCTTTCTGGCCTCCCTGCAGCGGGGCCGCAGGATCATCGACCGCACCTTGAAGCACCTGGGGCCTTTGGATCTGTTCCCTGGTGAGGAGAGGCGAGTCCTGGCCACGGTTCGGGGGTTCCGGCCCACCCTGCACCACATACACCCTCACACACCTCCACACCAACTTCCTCCTCCGTACCCCCTTCCGACACCCAGACCTGTGCTGCCTGCCCAGCCAGCCCCCTCCCGTCCCTGCTTTCCAAGGTGGGCTCGTGAAGCCTAAAGGTGGGAGCACTCACCTGGGAGGACCCAGCGATGGGGAAGGGCCACCCGCTGGCTTCTGTGTGACTTCCCCTTTCTCCCCCCCCCCCGCCCCCCCCATCAACACTCTTCTTCCACACAGCCGAAGTGGCCTGGTCCTTGTCACTGTCCGGAAATCTGGGGCTCCCCCTGGACCTGGTAGAGCTGATGCTGGAAGAGAAGGGGGTACAGCTGGACTCCGCTGGCCTGGAAAGGCTGGCCCAGGAGGAGGCCCAGGTACAGCTGGGGACCCCACTCTGGATTCTGGTAGGTCACCTCAGCCCCTTCTCTAGAGCAACAGCTGCTGTTGCTGAGAGGAAGCCAGAGGCTGAGATGGGGCTGTTCCCTCAGTCACGGGTGACAGGAGGAGCCTCCAGCCCCACACATGACTCTAGAGAGGGACACTGACCTCGGTGAAGGAAACAAAGGACCAGAAAAGAAGCCAGCGTGGCATCCCAGAGGGTCAAGTGAGGCAGCAGCAGGTCTGGCTGATCCAAGGGAGCTTGACAGCGGACTCACCAGGAAGCTGAGAGGGGGTCTCCAGCAGCCAGCCGAGATCTGGGGTCCGATTCTAGAGGGACTTTAGGATCCACAGGGACATGGCTGTACAAGACTCCGGTCCCATGGCATTCTCCATAGACATGTTCTTTTTTCTCTTTCTTGTTCTTTTTGTTGGTGTGCGGCTTGAACTCTGGACCTGGGCGCTGTCCCTCAGCTCTTCAGCTCAAGGCTAGCGCTGTACCACTTGAGCCACAGCGCCACTTCCTATGTTTTGCTGGTTATTTGAAGATGAGCACCTTGTAGACTTTCCTTGACTGGACTGGCATTGAATCCCATTCCTCAGATCTCAGCCTCCTGAGTAGCTAGTATTACAGGCATGCCACCATGCCCAGAGTAGACATGTTCTTATTCATGTCCTTTCTGCAGCACCGGGCCCAACAAGCTGAGCCAGCTCAGGAGCAGAGATTGCACCTTGACGTCCATGCACTGGGGGAGCTACAGCGTCAGGGGGTGCCCCCAACAGATGACAGCCCCAAGTACCGCTACACCCTGCAGCCCGGTGGAGGTTATGGTGAGAGTCTGGGCCCACAGATGGCCTGTGTTGTGTCCAAGATGATGGCTAGAAACCCCTGTGGATTCCTCAGGGCAGCCACCAGGGGCCGCTATGGCCACAGTTGGAGGTACCCAGCCAGGTGCCTGTTGGCCTCAAGTCCCAGCCCCACCAGCCCAGTCCAGCCCAGATTGAGTACTAATAAGCATTCCGTGTCCCACCAGAGTTTGACCCCTGTGAGGCCCAGGTTCTACAGCTGTACACGGAGAACGGGACAGCGGTGGCCTCTGTGGGGGCAGGCCAGCGCTGTGGCCTCCTCCTGGACAGGACCAACTTCTACGCTGAACAGGGGGGTCAGGCTTCAGACCGGGGCTACCTGGTCCCGGCAGGGCAGCCGGTAAGCACCTCCCTCCCTGAGCGAATGAGGCGGAAGGCAGATCTGAGCCTGGATGGGAGCCAAGGAGAAGGGACAGCTGCAAGCAGGCGCTTTGGGGTCTTGGTCCCTCCCTCTCTCAGGATGTGTTATTTCCTGTATCCCGGGCCCACATTTGTGGGGGCTTCATCCTGCATGAGGTGGTGGCCCCGGCGTGTCTGCAGGTGGGGGACCAAGTACAGCTACACGTGGACGAGGTAAGGCCCACCAGCTTTCCTTGGTAGCCTATAGTCCCTTCGTCTCCCCGCTCTCACCCTCACCCAGACCCCTGGGTGACAAAAGTGTTCTAGGCCTGGCGACTGGGATGCATGGAGAAGCACACGGCCACTCACCTGCTGAACTGGGCGCTGCGGCAGACGCTGGGCCCCGGCACAGAGCCTCGGGGCTCCCATCTCAACCCCGAGCGGCTGCGCTTTGACCTGGCCACCCAGGTGAGCTGACAGTGATGACAGGGTTGCTAGCGGAGGGCCTGAGCTCCAGGCACAGCGCTGCAGCTCTGCCTGTCCCAGGGGTGGGACAGGTGAAGCAGTGAGGCCGTGCCCTCGCCCGGCTCTGAGTTAGTATTCAGGACCACCCTCCCCTGTGTAAATATTTGTGTGTGCATGCGTGCACGTGCACGTGCACGCGTGTGCTGGTACTAGAGCTTGAACTCAGATGTCACTTGGCATTTTTTTTTTTTTTTTTGGCTGTGGGGCTTGAACTCAGGACCTGGGCTCTGTCCCTAAGCTCTTTTTCTCAAGGCTAGCATCCACCACTTTGAACCACAGCACCATTTCCAGTTTTCTGGTGGTTAACTGGAGACAAGAGTCCTACGGACTTTTCCTGCCCATGCTGGCTTTGAACCATCTAGGATTACAGGTGTGAGCCACCAGTGTCCAGGTCACTTGGCTTTTTTGTCTCAAAGGCTGCTATTCTACCACTTGAGCCACAGATCTGTTCTGGCTTTTTGCTGGTTAGCTAGGAATAACTCCATGGCCACTGACTGCTCATAAGTGCATCAATAACAAGCATGTCATGTGGAGACATGTCCCATGATGCCTGTGGCTCTGTGTTCCCCACCTCCCACTCTCCAGACAGCACTGACCCCCGAGCAGCTCTGGAAAGTGGAGGGCGCCGTGCAGGAGGCCGTGGGGCGGGATGAAGCTGTGTACATGGAGGAGGTGCCCCTGGCGCTCACCGCTCACATCCCTGGTCTGCGCTCTCTGGACGAGGTGGATTGGTGGCCCTGGCCTGCCCGCTTCCGGCACACCCACCAGGCAGCCTGCAGTGGCTCACAGGCTCTCCCCTCTCCCCTCAGGCGTACCCGGACCCCGTGCGGGTGGTGTCGGTGGGTGTGCCCGTGGCCCAGGCATTGGAGCCAGCTTCCCAGGCTGCCCTGCACACCTCCATGGAGCTCTGCTGTGGCACGTGAGCCATCTCCACTGCCCTAGCCCCAGGCCTGGGCCACACCCTTCCCCTGGTCTGTGGGACCTCCAGACCTCAGTTTGGGGCTTAGCCTTCTTCCATCTTTCCCATCATCCCCTCTGACTTTCTCCTTCCTCCCGCCCATAGGCACCTGCTGCGCACAGGGGCGGTGAGGGACCTGGTCATTATCGGGGAGCGCCAGCTTGCCAAGGGGACCACCCGCCTTCTGGCTGTCACTGGGGAGCAGGCCCAGCAGGTCAGCATGCCTTAGCTCCAGAGACTTCTGGGTAGAGATGAGGGTCCGGGGACACACACCGCGACACTGGCATGCCAGGGTGCCCTGGTACGGCTGTCCTTAGAGCTGGTCGCTTTATTATTTGGTGGCAGCCATGAACTGCAAGCCCCTGTCCTGGCCACTGAGTGTCACCAGCCACCCCTCACGGTCCTGCCGCTCCCTTGCAGGCCCGGGACGTGGGCCAGGCTCTGGCCCACGAGGTGGAAGCAGCTTCAGAGAGGCTGAGTCGAGGCACCCGTGACCTGACCGAGGCTCAGCGACTGTCCAAGGACATGGGGCGACTCACAGAAGTGAGAGCCACTCCCCCCACCCCCAAGCTGGGTCTTTCCCGTCTTCCCCAAGCACCCCAAATGCTTGGGCTCTGGCTGGCCTGGGGGTGGGGGTGGCGTTGGCCCCTTGGGGAAGGGCAGGGCGACACACGGCTCTGGCCGTAGGCCGTGGACACCGCGGTGATGCCCCAGTGGCAGCGGCGGGAGCTGCAGGCCACGCTGAAGGCCCTGCAGCGCCGTGCCAACACAGCCGTCCGGAAGCTGGAGATGGGCCAGGTGAGAGCAGGTGCACCCATGCGCTCAGGCACTGCGGCACCAACCCCGGGAACCCTGGGAGGCTGTGTGGGGACAGGCAGGTGGGAGTAGGCGTCAGCTTCAACGCCCCTCCCCCCCACCCCGCGCCCCACCAGGAGCCATTGCAAGGCTGCGTCCTCAGCTCTCCGCCAGGCTGCGGCTCTGCCTAAACCCTTCCCTCCAGGAAGCCTTCTGACTTGACCACCATTCAGCAACCTTCATTGTTCCTTGACTACTAAGCCCCTCCAGCCACGTCCTCGCACATTCAGCGACCTCGGCACAGGGGCCTGAAGCTGTGGTGACAGTCAGGGGGAGGAAGGGGCCATGCTAGGCAGCCTGATGACCTGTGTCATCACACCTGTAATCCTAACCACTCATGAGGCCCAGATCTGAAAAATCAAAGTCCTAAGCCAGCCCAGGCAGGCAAATCCAAGAAACTCTTCCATCCAATTAACCATCACAAAGCCAGGGAGGAGCTGTGGCTCAAGTAGTAGAATACCTGCCTTGAGGGGGGAAAAGCTAAGAGCATGAGACCCTGAGTTCAAGTCCCAGTCCCAGCGCCCCTCAGCCGGCCTCTGGGCTGTCCCTCCCGCCTACAGGCTGCAGAGAAGTCCCAGGAGCTGCTGAAGCGGCACACGAAGGGGCGTCTGATCGTGGACACCGTCTCTGCGGAGTCCCTCTCTGTGAGTCTGTCTGAAGTCTCCCCAGGCCTGGGGAGGGCCGAGTCCTGCCGTGGAGACAGCGGGGTATCTGGGAAACTGCTCACCCCGTTCCCCCCCCCCCCCGCCAGGTGCTGGTGAAGGTGGTGCGGCAGCTGTGTGCGCAGGCCCCCGGCACGTCCGTGCTCCTGCTCAGCCCCCAGGGCTCGGGCAGTGTGCTCTGTGCCTGCCAGGTGGCCCAGGTGAGCAAGCAGCCCCAGCCCCACCGAGCTCTGAGCCTGGAGGGGGGCCATGGGGGGCACCTGCGAGGACACCCATGATGACAGGGAGGGGCGATCTCCTAGTCCCTGTGGACAGCCCCTCCCACCCAGAAAGCACCCTGAGATTTCCCAGTTCCACCCCCACACACACACACACACACTCATCCTGTCCAGCCCTTCTCCCTCACCTCACTAGCTGCTGCCTAGCAGCGGGGCGGGGGCGGGGGAGGGAGGGGCTGATCTCTTGGACCCCACTTCCCCTTGCCTCTGCTTCTGATTCTCCTCAGGGTACTACACCTGCCTTCACAGCAGCAGCCTGGGCCCTGGCCGTGTGCAACCACATGGGGGGGAAGTCCTGGGGCTCTCGACTGGTGGCCCAGGGCACCGGAAGCACTGCTGACCTGGAAGCCGCCCTCAGCACCGCCCGAGCCTATGCCCTCAACCAGATTCACTGAGCAACCTACCAGCACACAGGAACTAAAGACAAGCACCTGGCACCCGGCCGGAGCTGGCACAGCCTCCCCAGAGGCTGAAACAGAAGACAAGAGGCTGGAGGACCAGCAGCTGAGCCAAAGGAGGCCACCTGGGCCTCATGGTACAAAGAGACAGGGACACAAGGAAGTGAGCCGAGATGCACGACCCCCACCCAATGTGAACTCCTGGCCACCGAGCTGAGACCGCTCATTAAAAGCATCTCACACAGGGCAGGTCGCTCTGGAAGATGTTTTTCTAAATTTGTTTATTATTTTTGGTCGGTCATGGGGCTTGAACTCTGGGCCTGAGCGCTGTCCCTCAGCTCTTCAGCTCAAGGTTGCACTCTACCACTTGAACCACAGCGCCACATCCAGCTTTTTCTGCTTATGTGGTGCTGAGGAATCAAACTCAGGGCCTCCTGCATGCGAGGTAAGCACTCTACCACTGAGCCACCTTCCAGCCCCTGAAGATTTATTTTTAGAAGAGGGGGACATTCCTCTCCCAGCATGGCCCCCCACTGCTGGTTTACTGATTGGAAAGACTCCTCAGGACCCAAATCCTGGCTACCGAGTTCCAGACGTGTCATTTGAAATCAATGATGGAATGATAGCAAGGCAGACTCCCCCTTCAGGCTCCCAATGTCATATGATGATCTCTCATTTGAATTAGGGCCTTGTTGACTTGTTGATATACTGAGCAACAGGCCTGATCAGAGACTGAGATGGTAGAAAAGCACCAGACAGGCAGCAAGTCTGCCCAGGTGGAACTCACTTCAGAAGAGTGTCAAGCTGGGTACTGGTGGCTCATACCTATAATTCTAGCTACTCGGAAGGCTGACCTTTGAGGGTTGTAGTTCAGAGACGACCCAGGGAAAAAAGTCCTTAAGACTTATCTCCAGTTAACCACCAGTAAGCCAGAAACGAGGTGTGGCTCAAATAGTAGAGCACCAGCCTTGAATGAAGAAACGCAAGGAGGCACAAGGTCCTGAGCACAAGCCCCAGTACTAGCAAAAAGGCGTGTGAAACAGTGATAGAAAAAGCTAGAAGTGATCAGGGAGGCAGGGGTAGCATTACGGTCTCCCTGTGAAGTGGCACTGAGCTGGGAACCAGGAAGAGAGGATGTGAGTCTCACAGAGATCTGAGGGAAAGTGTTCTGGGCTGAGGAGACAGTCAGTGCACAGGCCCTGAGGGAGGCTGAGACTAGTGTCATTAGGCAATGAGCTAGGACAGTGGCAAGTTACAGGGTCTGCCCAGTGCTGTGCTTTTGATCTGTTCTTTTTGGTGGCTCTGAGGTGACACTTGCTAGGGTGACACTACCACTTGAGCCATGCATCCAGTCCTGCTTTTTTGCTGTTTTAGAGACAGAATGTAGCTTCCAAAATCCTCTAAAGTCACAGCCTCCTGGGGGGTAGGATTACAGGTGTGAACCACATGTACCCAGAAAATGCTGTCTTTTAAAACAAGCGACACACGTGTCCAAAGCCAGGGCAGGAGGTGGAAACAGCTGGAGCTGAAAACTTGCCCAGAGCAGGATGAAGACATGGGTGAAGGCCTTCTGGCAGAGTGAAGCCCCCTGGCTCTGATTCAGGTACTAGAGCTCTGCCTCTGTCTCTACTTCTTGTTACTAGCTGAAGAGTCCATCTTCAAGGCAAAGGCGTCCTGGCTAGGAAACACATTAGATGGCTGGGAATGTGGCTTAGTGGTAGAGTGCTTGACTAGCAATGATGAAGCCCCGGGTTTGATTCCTCTAAAGTACCACATACACAGAAAAAGCTGAAAGTGGTGCTATGGCTCCAGTGGTAGGGCACTAGCCTTGAACAAAAGAAGCTCAGGGATAGTGACCAGGCACTGAGTTCAAGCCCCAGAACTAGTTAAAACACACACACACACACACACACATTAGCGCTGAGTCTAATGTCATCCCTACTCCCTGCGTGGTGTCAGCTTAAGATGAGGATTTGCTGGGAAGTCACTGGTAAGTTTGAGGATCTAGACCTTCAGGGCCAGTTTGTGTGTGTGTGTGTGTGTGTGCATTTTCCCTTGGCTTTTTTGCTCAAAACTGGTGCTCTACCACTAGAGCCATGCCACACTTGCAGCTTTTTGGTAGTTAGTTGGAGATAAAAATCCCAAGCTTGGGCTGGGAAGGTGGCTCAGTGGTAGAGCGCTTGCCTTGCATGCCTGAGGCCCTGGGTTCGATTCCTCAGCACCACATAAGCAAAAATAGCCAGAAGTGGCGCTGTGGCTCAAGTGGTAGAGCGCTAGCCTTGAGCTGAAGAGCTGAGGGACAGTGCCCAGGCCCAGAGTTCAGGCCCAACGACCCGACCCCAAAAAAAAAAGTCTCAAACTTTCCTGCCCAGGCTGGCTTCTAATTACAATTCTCAATTCTCAGCCTCCAGGGTAACTACATTACGGGCATGGGCCACAGGTGCCCAGCTGGTACCCTTACTTTATTCACGCGTCACCTGGGCATCACCTGGGCATCTGAGATGCTAACTTACCCAAGATGCCTTCTGGGAGTCCTGGAGGGAGCAGCAATGAAAGCTAAATTCTGCCATGATGGGAACCCCTTCCTGCCCAGCACCTCCTCCCTGTCCAGCTCCTCCTCCCCTCCACCCAGCTCCTCCTCCCCTCCACCCAGCTCCTCCTCCTCCACCCAGCTCCTCCTCCCCTGCCCAGCTCCTCCTCCCCTCCACCCAGCTCCTCCTCCCCAGCCCAGCTCCTCCTCCACCCAGCTCCTCCTCCCCAGCCCAGCTCCTCCTCCACCCAGCTCCTCCTCCCCAGCCCAGCTCCTCCTCCACCCAGCTCCTCCTCCCCTGCCCAGCTCCTCCCCTGCCCAGCTCCTCCCCGCTGGAGGACAGCCCGACTCGCCCGGAGGTTCAGGGACACCAGCCCCATCCATCCCGCCAGGCTAGGAGTGGAGAGGCCTGGGGCTGTGAAGGGGCCCAGGCGGCCTGGTCCAGTCTCGGCCGTCCTCCTGCAGGTCTGGGGTCGGCCGGGCCGGGCCGGGCCCGGGGAGATCCTCTCCGCCCCAGCCCTTTCCATACAGTGCTCCGCGCTGCGGCCGGGGCCTGCGGGGTCCCAGCCGCCTCCCCGCGGGAGCCACGCGCCCGGACCGCTCCGCA